CCCTTGGATGGCGGTCCCACGTTGGGAATCTCTCGCTGCTCAAGCCCTTGGGCACTTCCCAGCTCAGGAGTTCGCTCGTCAGCGTGGCAATCTATGGAGGGAGGGTTTTATCCCGCCCGCCGCGATGGGCCCTCCCCCAATGGCCGCTCATGCGCGCCCCTGGGCGCGCGGTGCGGGGCGGCCGCCGGGGCTCATCCCGTTTTCTCGGGCCTCCCGCCGCGGCTTTTCGCCCTTTTTTCCGCCATCCTTTCCCGCCGATCTCTTTTCGCCCCCTCACTCAATTGGCTCCGCATTCGGGCGGCGCCGCGCGTGGTCGCATTCCCAATTTGCTCGCGCGGGGTAGAACAGCGGTCGGCCTGTTGACCGTGCTGACCCGCGCTGACCCACGTTGGCCCACGTTGACCTTGCGCCTCGCCACCGCCATGAGCGTCCGGAGCCCGGGAGAGTGGGAGGAGCCCGGGGGCCCAGGGCGTCGGCGTCTGACGCAATGGGTCAGTGGCCAGCGTGCCCAGCGGCCTGCCGTGTCGCTCGTCGACATGGCGGCGCTTGGCAGGAACTCTTTCCGATCAGCCGGGCAGCTTTTGATGGCTTGCTTGATGGCGTTGTCCTGGGTGCTTCAGTGAACGGCCAATGTACTGAGGAGTCGATTTCGCGTGAGGCTGGGAAATTAGTAAGCCTTTACGTTAAGCTAGCGCAGTGCTTTGTCTCGCGGCAGTGGATGTGCATCGTGCATCACCCGTGCCGCGGTTGTCAATCAACTAATTGGTGCTCGTGTGAGTAACCCACGTTGGCATGGAGGGGGCCTGAAACGGGCGTCACTCTTGAGATTTCAGGCCATCAAGGGGCCCCACACACTTCGCAGCGGGGCACTTCGCCGGAAATTCAGTGTCGCGCAGCACCTTTCCTGCCCTCCTCAGGGCGTCAGCGGCCGCATCACGGTGGCCGCGGCCGACGCGCGGCGCCCACTGACGGCCTGCCGGCGGGCAGCCTGCACGCACAGCCCTCTGCCTGTTGCAACAGCGCAGGTGCTGCTGCTGGTGGACGGCGATGATGCAGCTGCTGTCGTGATTGGCAAATGACGATGATGCCAGCGTTGCCGTGATTGGCGCTGCACCCAGCGTGTGGTGCCAGCCTTTCACACCATCACTGTGAAAAAGCCCCCTTCAGGCGCCTTGTGATTGTCGAGGCGGTGTCACGGCTGCGCGAACGCCCTTACACCGGAATGCCACCGCCGCATTGCGACCGCCGTGACGCCGCGTTACATTGTCACGTCACTGTTGCGTTGCCAACGCCGTGACGTACTGTTACATCGTTGTGGCACTGTCGCGTTGCCAAAACGTGACGCAATTTCGCCGTCCCAGGCAGGCCCGGGATGCCCCTGGGCTGCGGTGGTGATGGTGAGTGAATAAGGCAGAGGGAGATCTGCCAGCGCAGTTGATGCAAGAGTACGTGGCGAATTTCCGCCTGCTTGAGGCGCCGATGAGGGGCTTCGATGTGACGTGAATTCGTGCGATGTGATGTGAAAGCGAAGGCTAAGACACCACGCACATGTTTGCTCGAGCTCGAGCAGTTCCATTCCTGCTTTTAAGCGGAAACAAGTCGTAAACGCATGAACTCCGATATACAACTCAAATGTGTGATTCAACAACATTGAACTGCATATTGTGTAACTCAATTTGATCGGGGTTTCACAGAGTGACAGCGGAGGGGCGTGCGGAGGGGTGTTAGATGCTTCTGGTCTCTTTGGGCAACGCGCGTTGCTGTGGCATTTGTGTGGTGTTGTCGCATGCTGTGTTGGTTTAAGACAAGCTCGTTCAATTGTGGCTTGTACTAGCATTAATGGCAATGCTGAGATTCGCGGAGTAAGAACTGTTTACCCTGCGTCTCTTGTGGAGATAGCACTTCACCAACGCCGAAACAATGAGTGCAAAGAGTTTGGCAAACCATAGGTTGCAAACAGGTTAAATCCTAGATTAGTAATAGGTAAGCCGTAGATTGTAAGTAGACAGACTGAGTACAAGCTCATGAGCTGAGTAGCTTCTCCTTTCCTTTTTTTCATGTGCGGTGATTTCATGCCATGTGCATTTGTACTTGCTTTTCCTCATGCCGCTGTTTCCTGCGCCAGGATTTGGACACAAGCACACTGCTGAATTGCCTTGAGGCAGCCCCTCCGAGGGCTCCGCAAGGCCTGGTGACGTCGTGGAGCGACTCCAGTGACACTGGCATGGGCGCGCTGTTCGGGTGAGGAACCAGAAGAAATTGCGCGTCGTGTTTTTGGTGCAGAGAATCCAGAAAGATCGAACTTCAACTTCAAGCCAAGGAAATTGAGAAAAATAGAGAAAATCAAGAGGTGAATGATGAAATGTAGAAGAATGACAAAACCAAGAGAAAAGCAGGAAAACACAAGAAAAGCGAAGAAAAGCGAGGAAAGAAACATGAACATTGAATTTGTGAACTTCAGGTTCTGCGATCTGAATTCTGTGTTTGGTACCAGATACTCCACAGATTCAAATCCTGAGTTTCGAATCCAGGAATTCAACACCAAAACTTTGGTAATCCGAGTCTGTAGCTGTGGATCTGAAAACTCAAAGTCAATGATGCGAGCCTGAGAACTGAAAGTGACAAGGAACACAGAGGCAGCCACCGTATACCACACTGTGTCTATTTGTCGTCTGCCAGTCTGCTTGCATTCACAACCATGAACAGCATGTTATGGAATTCTGCCTAGATCGCATCCTGTCTTGACCATGAATGCTCTTCCCTGCGCTTCTCACTCTGATGATGTGTGCCTTGCATCTCTGCAAGGACTGCCCTCCGTCAGCTTGGTATTCGCTGCAGGGTGGTGCGATGCTCACAGTTTTGCTTTTTGGATTGGGGTGGCACCGGGGGCCTTACAACGTGATGTTGCATGTTGGATTGGGAAAAGAAGGCTCAAAGGAAGAAGGCAAAGCTGTTTCCCTATTCTCGTCAGGAAGGGGATTTAATGGCAAGGCACAGCATAGGGATATGCCATCCATCCACAACATGCAGATGAACATTGGCTGTTGATGCAGTGCTGTTACAAGTGCACAACTGTCCAGATAGCCTGAGTTTGCAGTAGAAGCACATCTGCCTTTTGAGTGTGTTGGCTGATAGTTGAGAGTCAGCGGCTGACAGCAGCTTCAGTGGCCAGCAGTTGATGCTTCCCACACTCCATACTGTCGACGCGGTGTGCTTAAGCACAGTTGCCACAATTTGACAAACAAGGGATAAATTGGCCCAGCCCTTTAGGGCCACAAGCAATATATATTGTGCTTCTGATTCACATGAGCTGTACTTTATTCGCTGTTCATCCTCTTGCTTTCCGGCGGACTGCTCCCCCACAGCCGCCCTGTCATGGTGCCTGATGCAGGTGGCTGCCTGCACTCCCTTGAGCAAGAGTGGTACAGGGCTAGGTATTCTGCAGGGCATTATTGTATCACACGCTCAGCTTTCCCTGTCTTCCAAGTTGAAAGGCCTTACTGAAACCTGTGCTTTGTCTGTGACAGTGATGCCGTGGGTCAGGATTTCTGGGATGACTCTTTCGATGGTGGTGAACGTCCACAGAGCACGTCTCGGCAGGTGAGCCGCCACTTGTTATCCTCGCTCATCATGGGCACAACTGAAAATTGTACGATTGTACGATTGTACGATTGTACGAGCACTCGTTTGTTTCCCTGTGACGTTGCACAATTCCTGCTCGCTTCCCCACACCACCCACACAGACCCTAACCACTCTGGGGAACGAATTTTCTTGAAATATTTGTCCCCTTTGTCAAGATTGATAAAGAACGTAATATGATGTATACTGTATACTATGATACTGTGGTACTATGATACTATGATGCTATTGGTATCGTACAATATGATCAATAATAATTGAGGCCTCTGTGTGCAGCTAGGAAAAAAGTGGGGAATCGGTGGTGTGACATGCTTCTATTCATGCCATGTGACTGTTGTAGGCAATGGCTCAAGAGTGACCTCCCTTTCATATTCACATGTATCCCTTCGATCAGGGATTGTTGACGAAAGGATATGCCACTAGGCATGCACAGGGGAGGGGACTTAAAATTCAGGCCACAGTCTGAGGTCAATTTGAGCCTAGTAATTTGGACTAAATTAAATATGACTTAATTTGAATCAGGGGAGAAATTCTGCGCTTGCCCACCATCTGCACATTTTGTAATCAACAAATGGATGTGTCCATAACAGCAACATGAAAAGTGGCACGTCTGTCTTGTCAGGTGTACCTGGTGAGCTTAAGTAGTTATCAGAGAATGTCATTGTCTTGCATTGTCTCCTTGTCTGTTACTGTCTGATAATGGCCGGAGACAGCCTGGCCGTTCCAGCTGTCTGCAAGAGCCTCGCATTGCTTGGAGAAAAGGATCCCGCAGTGCACGTGTCTGTGGTCTTCAAGGACCTCACAATGCTCTCCATGATAGAACACCCCAACTCTCATGTCGCCCAAAACATACAGCTGGCACAGGTCGCTGGACAGGGGGTGGCCGCTGGCCCTTTTCCCACAGGGATCGTGGCTGCACGTGTGAACGTAGATGCACCTGAAAACCAGGCCGTTTCCATTGGCGTCTGCTGCGCTGCTCTTCTCCGTCGTTTGATATGTTTACCGTTCCCGTTCATGTCCATGGGCCTGTCTGTGTTCATCCATCCACTGATTGTCTGGCATCTGTTCATCATTTGCTTGTGTTTATCTGCTGTTTATCCGTTGTTTGTCTGTTTCTGTTAATTTTTTGTATGTTGTGCTTTGTATTTTTATCTGCTTTGCAAGGCCGGACATTGTCTGTTTTGTCCATCTTCCTTGACTTTTTGTTTTTATTCACTTGTTTTGTTCATTTGCTGTTTACATTGCTCGGACGCCCATTGATTTATTCGTCCCTTTTCTGCAGCCATCCCCGCTGCTGGCCTGCGCTCCCTCCCTCCCCTCTCCCGGCCCCTCTGGAGGGCCCCAGGGCCCGGCCCGCCCAATGTACCGCAACGATCGCGACTGGTACGACATCGAGGACTTCTTGGGCGACCCGGCTTTGGTCCCCGGGGCCCCACCGGCCCTCTGCGAGGACATCGATCCTTTGCCCTTGGACGCGGACATCACATGCGGCCATGACGGTTCCCTGGGGCCGAAGCCCGTCCACGAGTTAAACACGGCCCGCGACCAGACTACGGTGCAAAGTCCTGCCGGCGGGCTAAACGCGGCCTGTGGGCAGAGCACGGCCTGTGAGCAAAGTACTGATGGCGGGCTAAACGCGGCCTGTGGTCGAAATGCGGCCTGTGCACAGAGTGCTGCCTGCGGCCAAAAGGTGGCCTGTGGGCCTGAAGCGCCGCCCCCAAGTGTGACGGAACCGCCCCCTGCGCTAAACTCGGCCTGTGGCAAGAACGCTGCTGTTGTGCAAAGTACTGGCGGCGGGCTAAAGTCGGCCCGTGGACAGAATGCGGTTTGTGGGCAAAGTACTGCTGGCGGACTAAAGGCGTCCCGTGGAGCCGAAGCCAGCGAGTTCACCTTCAAGGACCTGGGCGCGGTGGTGGAGGGCCTGGAGGCCCTGCTGCAGGATCTGGGCCCGGACCTCACCGATCCAGTGCCGGACCGGTCTGGATCCGGCGCCGGATTCGGGACCAGATCCGGAATAGCGTCCGGATCCGGATTCGGCGCTCCCCCTGACGGCGAACCGGCAGTGGCGGCGCCCGTCGGCGATCGCCTGACCCGCGGGCCGGAAGGCCCCCAGACCCGGAGCCCGGCGCTGTACCGGCAGCGGATGGACCCGGCCGGGGCCCCGGTCCCGGGAACCGGCCTTGGGCAGACCGTTGGGCGTGGGGGACCCAACCCGGCGGACCCCCTGGCCCAGCGCCCGGGCCCCTGGGCCCGGGAGTGCGACGGCGGTGTCGTTGGGAAGGCCTACGGCGGGACGCCGTCTGGGCCCTTGAGACAACGGATTGGGCCCTTTCGCCCGTACGGGGGCCCCTGGGACCGGGCCCGCTGGGCCCCGGGTGCCCGCCGATGGGGCCCCGCGGCCCACCTGGAGGGCGGCGTGCACGAGGCGTCGTTCCGGATGGGGGTGGCGGCGGCGGCGGCGGCGGCGGAGGGGCGCGTGATGGAAGCTTACGAGATGGAGGTGGCGTGCCGGCGGCGGTGGGCGGGACTGAAACGGCGGTGGGCGCAAGAGCGGGCGGAGCTCCGGATGCTGTCTAGGGCGAAGCGGGGTGAGTGGGTTTTGGGCGGGCTATGGGATGGGGCGGCCGCCAATGGCTGCAGACCACGAAGTAATTTATAATTGTGCCCAATTATATGTACCGTAATGGCAGTAGTCAAATAGCAATCATTCCAGCGCTTTACCATATTTATGTACTACAATAGTAGCAGACATTTATTGATCATGCTATCCCTCTTCTGTACTTCTGCGCACAATCATAGCCATGTATACTACAGTGGCAGCAATTGAATAATGCTCACGATTGCTTCATGGAAGGTGGGTAGCGTTTTGGTCTGATTTGTTTCCCATTTCAGCAAGGAAGTAATTGCGGTACTGTACTATCTATTGCGGTATTGTACTGTGCTATATACTGTGCTATTGGGTTGTTTCTTATGCCGTAAAACCTGAGCGCATTTACCTTTTTATGCGTGAAAATATCTTTTGCGTTTTTATGCGAAAAAACGCGTAAAGGCACGAAAATTCGAGGTAAATAAAGCCATAAGTACATAAGGATAGTACACGCAGAGTTGAGGGGTCCGGGGATTGGCAGCCAGAGACTCTGGAATGGGTAGAAAATGAACTTTTGTTTCAATGCCGTTGTTGCCCTTAAGGAGGGCGAGGTGGGCATCGTGTTGCTGTCCCAACGAGCTGTAAAATGTAAAAATAGCCCAAAAAATTGGCCTCCAAAAAATAGCCTCTTTTTCAAATTCACGTTTTTCACGGAAAAAATCTAAACATAAACGTAAAAGCCAAGCCTGGTGCTATTGGTGCTATGGTCTGCAAACTTTTGGCAGTGGCTCGAACTTTGAGTGCACAACGGGACTTAATTACAATCCGTTTGGTAGTTCAGGAATGTAACCTAAGGCCCGAAACGGGCTGCTTAAGGGTCCTTATGTTCAGCAAGAGGCCGTTGATGGCAGCATTAAAGGCTAACTTAGCGTTTAAGTTGAAATTGGAGGCGTTGATGAGAGGTCGAGTGCGGCTGTGGAGGACAATTCCGCGATCTGGCCAGTTGTGCAGCCTGCAAAGGGTGCAAGAAAAGTTTAGCAGTCAAGGGTACCTGGTCATATGCTGAGCGTGTCTAGCGCTCTCGCTCCTTTTGGGGTGTGGCATGCCTTTGTTGTCATGACATCTTGGGACCTTTCTGACGTCTCTTTGTTCGTATCTTGGCAGCGGCCATAGCTTCGATGGTGGCAGGGGGCGATGTGTGGAAGGAGCAGATGCTAAGGGGAGTCGACCCAGGCGCCATCATGCAGTGAGCCCACGTTCTTGAATATGCGCATCCCTTATTGTTTTTGTCGTCGCTTAATAATCATGAATGCTCATAACTTACCAATTCTTTAAACTTCAGTGACTAGCTGCTAGCATTACTTCCAGGCCGCCCACACAAGTGTAATTGTCATATGCCACAAGCCCCTGGAAACAGAGCCTTAGTAACCATGTTCAAGTATCATGAAACATCTTGGGACCGGCATCTCCCCCGTGCATTCTATTGCCTTACTTGGTACTCTACTCTGCACATGTTACTGTACTACTACTAGTATGTATTGTTTACGACACTTTGTACTTGGTAATGGAGTCTGGCATCTAAAATCACGCAGCACAGGTTGGGCCCTCTGAGAGCTGCAAGTTAGTTCTGATTTCGACACTGCCCCACCATTCGAGTACTTTGGGCACTTCAAGTCGCTGCTCCTGTACTTTACACCAGCACTGCGAAGCTTTGGTCACTCGCTCCAGTATTTCATGCCAGTACTGACCCTGCTGTCTGCGCTGTGCACAGCCCGCGGTGCGTCCCGCAATCGCGTCCCGCAACGAGCGGCAAGATGGCGGAAATGGGCGCGCCATTGGCTTCACTGCTCTTCCAAGGAATCGCTGCCTCCAGACTCCACAGCGAGACCTGGCCTGGCCAGCCTGACCCATGGGCGGCAAGGGGCAGGCCTGTAAGTGCACACATCGCCTCGAGGCCCCCTCGGTGTTTCGTGTCATTTTCCTTGCGTTCGTCTTTCTCTCTCGTTGTTGCGGTCGTTCTCGGGATTCGTTATGTTCTTCGCGATGACGCTGTCGTTGCGTTTTCACGCTGCATGCCGAGATCCGGCCAGGTCAGCCTGATCCGTGGACGGCAAGGGACAGACCCGTGAGTGCACATGGCGCCTCCAATCTCTTTCGATGTGTGCTGTGTGTGTCGTTACGAGAATGTCGCTGCGTTTTTGCGCTCCCTTTCGAGGCCGCGTCAGGGCAGCAAGGGGCCATGGGCGGCAAGGGGCAGACCTCTGAGCACACATCGCACCTCGAGTCCTTGTCGGGATGTGCTTTTTCGTAACGACAGTGTCGTCGCGCTTTTCGCGCTCCCTGTTTGGCTCGATTGCTGAAGGAATGCTGTGTGTTGGCAAGGGGTTGCCGGTGGGAAGCATGGCGCCTACACACCACCAGGTGCAGCGGGACGGCTGTGAAGACGCGCAGGTGCACGCACCGCCACTGGAGCCCTGCGTGCCTGTCTCACGCCACTCGCCAGGTGCGCATCAGCCTCCAGTCCTATTCACTTGGCACGATGGCACCAATGGCGAGTTTGTAATCGCTCAGTTCCGTTTATTTCTGTGCTTTGTTGCGTATCAATATGCTATTTGCTTTTTTCCACTTTTCAGTATGTGTGGTTCATTGTTTAAGTTTTGGGCTGCTTACGCTGCTGATGCACGTCTGTCAGCAATTCGGTGCAGTGTGAGACTTGGAATGAGATGATTTGTGAATTTTCCAAGTTTCCTGGCTGGACGAAAAAGCGTTGGTTGTTGCAACCAAGGAATCTTACATATTGGAGATTTCAGAAATCGTTGATGCTGCGACGGCGGCCTTCTGCGATGGGGATCCAAACACTCTCAAGCGTGTGTTGGCGAGCGCTATTCCACGTGAGGGACGCTGCCCTTTGCCACGAAGGCGGCGACGACCTGCACTGGTAGAAAACGGCATGTTGGCGATGCCAACTACGATGCCATTTTGGCAAAAAATGGTGCTGTCACAGTGATTGCGATGGCATAGAAGTGGATGTGATGGCATCAATTTCGGTCAAGTGGCATTGTAGTTAGAAAGAAGAATGCTGTTTTTTGCTGGTGCTGTCGTTGGCACACCTGGGACAGGATCAACCCACAACTGCGCATGTCTCCATTGTGCACACAGAATCAAAATGCGCTTTGTTTGGACGAATTTGGCCAATTTTGAGGGCCCTCCAGCGGGGCTGGTACTAGTTTGTTTTCTTGAAAATTGATACCTGAGGGTTTCGAGATACAATCTTTCCTATTTTGGACCCCCTTTTATAAGTTTGAGCCCGTCCTTATAACGAATTTCTTCTTTAAAATAGGGGACATTTAATATGGGGTGGAGGAGGTACTTTTTTGCATCAAATGCTGTATGCTCATGTTTTTCTCATCCCCACAGAATACCACGCCGCCGTCGCAGCCTCCCTTCCCGGTCCGTCCGCGCCCACGCCGTCGCCCCCCTCGCCGCTGGTCAACATCCGTCAACGCACAGTCAACGCGGTCAACTCGGCGGTGGGCGAAGACCTGCTGGCAGACTCCCTGCGCGCCGCAGCGCAATGCGCTGTGGGTCAGTGCGGTCAACCACAGTCAATGCCGAGTCACCGTGGTCAACGCGACGGGCACGTGGGTCAGGAGGAGGTCAGCGCTGTGGGCCAGGCGGCGTCGAGGCCTCAGGGTCCCTGCGGCGTCCTGAACCTGGACGCCGTATTCCAAGAAGCTTCCACTGCCCAGGCGAACCTTCCACTCATGTCTGAGGCGCCCTTTGCGCAGTAGGTAAGAATTACATAACTGTTGCTTACTAATTGCTGCTTAGTAACTGCTGCCGTTTCATCCAATTGGGTGGTATTTGTGTTGCATGCACGGGCAGTGATGGCAAAATAGATCTGTGGCGTTTACTTGGTTGCAATTGCAGCTGGCTAGTGAATAGATGATTACGTTTTTGGTTGTGGATGATGAATAAACCACTGCGCTGGTGAGAATGCAAGTCGATGCCGTGCATGGATCGCGGCCTGCCCAATAAAATTTGTTTAGGAGTAATTGGTGTTAAGGTCAGTGCTTGACAGTTCTCGCAGGCGCCACTCCGCAAACTGAGATGACCGGGCGGTGCTGGACCTCCAGCGGTCTGCAAGTACTATTGTTGTAAACTACTGAGCCCTTGAATGCCAGTAAACTAGTATTGCTCAGAAAACGGCATTCACATCCGGTGTCGCAAGGGCATGGGAAGCGCACAAGAAGGGAAGAAGAGATCGAGTTTGAGAGGAACACAAGAAGTGCATTTTCGTACAGTAGAGCGGAAGAAAGACTGGGAACAACGCTTGTTTTCAACAAAACGGCACAAGACTTGGCAATTCCCAGGACTGTATTGTACCACTTCCTCATGCAAAGATGTTTCCAGAAAGCTTTCAGCGCAATTTTGACGGTGGATAATGTTCTTGGCGTGGTTGGCAGGTGCCGCGGCGCGTGGAATGTGGGCCCGGGGGCCCTCGTGGAAGAGACTGCCACCCTGGAGTACAGGCCCGACCAATGGCGCGAGTCGAGAGGGGAGCTGGGCACAGTCGTGGGGGCGTCGGCCTGATGCGAACTCAAGGAAATGGAAAACCAGATGTGATATTTGAATTGATGCCGCTCCTGCGCTGATTGAAGCAAAAAGCACTGCGCAGAGATGCCGGCCTGCAGCTGCAGAGTCTCTTAAGAGCAGCTGTGGGGATGCTAAAGTGGAGCTGCGTAACTGGCCTCGTGTTGGGCCGCGACGTGGGTTGGGGCGGGTCCCGTCGATAGACTTTTGGAACTGTGGCGGGAAGTGGGAATTGGAGAGTAGATTCGCGGTTGCGTTTGAAGGGAAGGCTAGTTTGGGCGCCCCTGTAGGCGCTTGGGAATGGGTAATTTCAAGGCGACCTGGAACGGCCAGTTCGAAGACGGAATTGGCCACCGAACTCAACTTTCTGGATTGGCCTTTGCGGGCATGAACTCAATCTTTCTCAATCTCTTTTTTTTGTTGCGGTTTTGTTGCTTGGGTGCGAATGGGTTGCTTTAGCTATGTCCTTGGGTCGGAGGGAGTCTTTTCTTCTGAGGCCCAATGCGGTCGCTTTTTGAGGCGGAAAAAAAAGTACTGTACGGTGTATCAGGCGCGAGCGTGACGCGCAACTTCACTTCTTTGCCGCCGTGTTCGTCACAGATTCGAGTTGTCCGGCGTCGCAAACGTCATGAATAAGATGTGTGACGTCATGGCCGTCGCGGATGCGAATGTCTGTCGGATTCTGCTGATTTGGGATGGTTGCTTTGCAGTATTTCTGTACGGGAAAGCGGAATCGTATGAATCGATTGCTGTGCATGCAGATGTCTAGACGAGACTTCGATTCGTGTGTGGTGTTTTCTTTTGTTGTTGGCAGTTCAGAGCCAGCTTGTGTGTATTGTTGTCTGGGTGTTGTTGCCACGAGTGCACGCGCAGCGCCTGTTGCGAATTGGGTGCTCCGTGGCCGTTGTGAAAGGATGCGACTCGCGGTGTCCAATGACTGTGCCAAGTGAGGTATGGCCAAATGGAACTAATGCGTGTGTGGTCTGTGGTTGAATGGCATGATTGGGTGCGCCGATGTCGGGGACGGAGTAAGGGAATATCTTCAAAGAATAACATGATGAATGTGTGATTGACAATTCATGTAATCGGCGTAGTCACCCCATCTTGCCTGCGGCCTCCTTGAGGGATGTCGCTCTTCTGGATCCCAATTTGGGACCCTTCTGGACTCTTTTGGCAAAGAGCGGTGTCAGGGCCAGTGCTTTACGCCCGCCTTTTCCATGCTCTTTCTGTCAACGCCTTCCTGCTTGAAATCACTCGTTAGTTTGTTCATTCTACCGAACGGAAACTACTCATTTGAAGGAAGTCTCGCCAACGCCGCAACAACTATCACACTGAGTTGTTCTTTCAGGACAATTTAGTACAAGCAACTACTGTAAATTACTGAGCCTTGTACCATTTTCCACCAATGTCCGCACTGCGAAGAAACAATTCATCGCGCGGTGCTTGTCAAGACTGGCTCATACCGCGAAGACGACACCGCGCGCTCTCAGCTGAGTGTGCCAAGGCAAACCTGCATCGGCAGCTCTTCTGCTGTTTAGGGTTTAGGGTTTAGGGTTTAGTTGTTGCTCTGTTGACCCAATCACGAAGCCGAAGGAACACCTGGTGCCAAGTCGAGCTGGTGCGGGTCCTGTCCGTGACAAAAGCATCACGCCCACAGAGACAAATATCCCATACTATTACATTTAGATTAATATTAATTTATTAAATCTATTTTGAATTAACTATTTAGATTACAGCAGCTGACACTTGAGGAAACGCCAGACGTGGGCACAGCCATGTCCGAATCTTGACCCCGCAGGGACCCGCACAAATTTGGTGCACGGAGTGATGTTGCTGCGCTTCAGCGCTTCACAAGCGCACACCCAAAAGAAACGATTATTCTTTCTCTTTCAGGAGCATATGGCGCAAACAAGTACTTAAAACACTGACCTTTGCAGCAACACTGCACCAAAAAGGGCACAGAGCGCAACGCGAGAGGTGCTGAAATTCCCTTGCCGCATCACGCACTCCGTGCCTTCCGTCACGCCCTTCAGCTCCCTCAACAGGCCCCCCCGGAGAGTAGGTCCGCATAGCACATCCCGCGCTACTGCTGGTGTGGTTCGCAAAGCCGGCGCCCACAACTCCGTTGCAAAATTCAAACTGCACTTCACCCTCGCTCTTGTCGCCGGGGTGGCCAGAGCTGTTGAAGGCAGGCCGACCGTGCCAACGTCGGCAAACCTGGGGCCCTTAAGGGGTTCTTTCAGCAGTGGCACGCCAGAAATGATTCTGGAGATTCTTCCGATCACGCTGTTGGTTATTGGCGTGAGGCCGAAGCATGGCGGTGCACACACTTTTAAGGTGCCAGGACATGAAAACTGTGTAAACAGCCAGGCGAACAAAGTGTGATGGTGTGACGTCCTGCGGGCCAGCGACGTCGCGATGCAGCGTTGTGTTGGATGCGACATCAGGATGTGCTGTTACGTGGGAGTGCGGCATCATGATCGCCGGCAATTTTCCATGCCCTGGGTACGGAATAGGACATGGTGACCTGATGTCACGGATACCCACTACGATACGGATGCCATATCCCAGATATGCGCACCTACCGCGCTGTCGTACAGCTACGAATATGGGGGGCTCGAGTCCTCAGAGGGAAGTCTCCATTTCTCCTGTGTCCAATTTGGGTCTAGCAGCCGATTTTCTTGCAGGGCATTACCCAACTTGTGCATGTCACGGCATGTTTATCTGGGCAAATTGTCCAAAATAAGTCCCTTCTTGCGTTTACACTCGGTTATTTGCAATTTCGCGCAGACCAAGTCGTCAGCTCCAATACCAAAATTACCCTGCTGAGGACCGCTTCGGCGATGGCCCTCAAGCCTTGATGTGCAAGGTAAACGGCAATTGCGTTTCAGTGTGCCGAAAAGAGCGGAGAGCAGCAGAGAGAACGGTGGACGCTGAAGCCCGGGCCTTGGCTCCAAGCGGGCGCCCGCAGGTGCACAGGCTCCTGTCGATACGAGGGGAAGGGGCACCAAGAATCAAGCGCGGAGGAAAACTGCACACTTTGGCGCCTGGAGTTCGCACACGCGCTGATGAGGCTGGCAGGTTTGAGGGGCGACATCCCCTGAGTGGGGCATACAGGCCGGGTTACGTGGCAACGGACTACAGCGGAGCAAACTTGCATATGCCGGAAGGGCGAGAACCTGGATGGGCCCTCGGCTGGGCGCCGTGGAAAGATGCCCATGGCCCGGTTTCGAGCCGGCGGACGCTCAAGGGCCTAGGGGGAAGAGGGACGGGCCATAGGGAGGCTGGGATCCCCCGAGAGGGAGTCCCAGGGAGGGTGGGCTCACCTGTGCTTGGGAAACGTGCCTCTTCCTGGCTGCCTTCATTCATCGACCCTGCGCCCATGGCGCCTCCGGGATGCCGGCTGGGAAGGCCGCGCGGAGGGCGGCAGCGCAGGGGAGACCCTGGTAAGTGGGGGATTGCCGGTGGCGCTTCGGGGTGATGTGCGGGCTCTAGGAGGTTGTTTGGCGTCCACGGCGATTCTCAGGATGCCCATAACATCGTGCACACGGCGGGTGGCTGCCGCTCAGATTCTGGACTTCCCCATGACTGCCCTGTGCAGCCCCCCGGGCATTCAGAGTCCGACGGTTTGGAGGGTGGATTCAACCCGGAAGTCTGAATCTCACAAAATCGAAAAGTTGCGACGTTTAGCATGCCAAATCTCGAAAAAGGGCCATCAGTCTTCGTGGCCTGCTTCTCCGACGGTGAGCGGCGATGGTCGCCCAAACGAGATCTGCGCAGCGACGTTCTTTCAGAAAAACGAAAAAAAATAAATGACCTGTAAAACGACCAGCAGCCAAGGCGGTGTCCCAGTGTCTCAGTGGCCCAGTGCGGGTCTTCGCTGGATGAGTCGTTTACTTCCTCTGTCCAAGATTAATTGACGTCTACTAGAAAGGCAAAATTCTTAAAAAGGGCGGCCTCGAGATCGCAAAACAAGTGCGAATTCGGAAAGATTGGTTTTCGAAACTCCTATTCAGCAATTTTCAAAAAGAGGAAATGAGACAGGGCCGTTTTGAGTGTTAGGCGAAAAGTAAATTTTGGCAATTTTGACCCCCCAATATTGAGGTCCATTGGGCAACAAAACCCTCGATACAAGGCATTGTCAAGTCGTCGGTGCCTACTGGATTTGCTTGAAATTTAATAATATGCTCCGGCTTCA